TGTCACGCACAATGGACTAAGCGAAAGAGGGACTACTCGTAGTCTAAGAAAACACTTGGCCAGTTAAACCAGTATTAGGCAACTCATTAGTAACTGAAGGCGATAAAATACTAAATCCGGTTCTACTCTCATCGTTGGCTGAATATCTCCGTTATTGAGTTGTCCTTGTTGAATACTGTTTTGACTGTTTCTGATGCCGGAGTGACTTAAATTTACCGTGCACAGGAGCAATCACTGCATTAAAATTAAATTTATCTTTATTAACATTTTTTACACATAAATACCTTTTATTTGCATGTTGCAACATTATAATATAAATAATTTGCACGTTCGTGCAGCGGTATGTTTGAAATAAATTAAATAATTTATTAACCCAAATATTAATATTAAATTGAATTCACTTGTCGTTAAAATGAAACATTTTTTAACGTCGTCGTCTTTCAATAAAGAATATGAAATTATAATAATAAAGCTTCTTTGAATAACATACAAAGCAATTAAATCGGGATCATGTGCCAGGATTAAAATTAGGGTGTGACAATTCTATTCTGAAACGCCGTTTGGAGAAGAACATCAAATCTTAGTCGCTGCCTCAGATTTGCAGAATTAAAAGTACTTAATGGCTGGTGTATACTCAAAACAATAAACTGAGCATTGCAAAAATCGAAAATCATAGTACAGAAAATTAAAAGCATCAGGGAGAATTCTCAGAATTTCAGGGAGGACCTTCATTACAACTCAGTAAAATTCAAACAGTCAGTGTTTATCAGAATTGTCACCCCTCGTTTTACGAGGCAGCGTGTCATCTCAATTAAAAAGGTCATGTATAAGCTAAATAATAGGCTTGGTCAAGCTAAGCATTAATTCTTTCTCTGCGAGGAGTGAAGAAGTATCAAACTGAGTTTGAAAAAAAATGACAGACTGAACCATATGAAAAGTGCTGCTCATAAAGGGTTTCATCCAAATTGCTATCATTATCTCCAGACTCTAGAGGATCTAGAAACGCTAAACGGAGTTAATGGAGTTTTGACGACCACAGGGTGCCGATGTTTCTGTCATTTAATTTAGTTTATTACCGTCTTTCCTCAGTAAGACAAACTGTAAAACAGTCAATATGAAATACAATAACAATACACAGTATCGTTTGGTGTTTTAAAAAGTAGATACTGAAAATATACATATGTACTTTCGAATAAGTTATGTGAAAAATATTTTCTGCTTTGAATAAATAACTAAATAAGTAAATAAATATCATATATGATTAAACAATTATTTTCATAACGTATCTTCCATAAGTTTTCTCTTTGGTAATAAATATATCTTTTAAGCGAAATTCAATATTGACGGCTTTTAAGTAGGCTCTTCACAAATAAATAGGTTTCTGTAATTAAATATACTTCTATGTTATAATACTTTTTAAGGTCACTGTACACCTAAAACAGTTTTAATTCGTGAACTAACAAACTCTAAGATTTATACGGCATAAATCGCGCGGCCTTCTGGAGGTTCGTCGTATTGTGTGGCTGTTTTACCTTTCCATTTCGTTTAAAACCGAGATACCAGCTTGTGTTGTACATTGACTGAAATGTTGTGTACCCATCGGAGAAGTCTTCTGAAAACACGCAGCGGTCTAAAGTGTTTCCATGCACCTACAGAGATCAGGAAAAACAACTTTTAGTCTCCCAAATAAAAAGGAAAATGTTTCCAGGACGACGCAGGTAAGCTCGGCAAAAAAGGCCCCACCCACCCCACCCCGAGCCGACCTGTATAGTACTTGAGTGGGCCTTTGAACAACAACAGATGTAGAGCTGAGTATTATCTGCATATAGATAAGTAGACGTTGATGGTCAGGTAAATCGGGTTGCCCTTGATTTCGCAATTGAAAGTAAGCTCACCTCCAGTGTAAGGTCGCCATTTGGGTTGACACATAGGTAGCTGTTTTCTGTTACGGATCTTATTCTGACTCCAACGCCGAAACCTTCTACATAAGTTGATTCCAACTGTAACTTAGCTGAAACGAACAACAAAACAAGAAGATTAATTGCAAATCACGCTTTTATCTAATAAAAAAACATTCTAAGTTAAATCAGCATGTTCGAACAACACCTTTTTTTCTTGGCAACGGCTTATGGGCGCTTTATCTAGGGCTTAATTGAATTCTGGAAGAATCTTGACACAAGACAGCCCTTTCTTGCGGCAAAACTGAGTTTCTTTTTTGGGGCGGAGTGTCTTAATTTGCGGGTGTACTCAAATCTGTTTTTAAGTAAACCGTCATTAGCGAAACTTCCTGAGCCGAAAGAACAAGTCAAGTTTGTGAATAACAACAAAGCACAAAGTCAAGCTCAGATATTAAAACAATGGGAAAACAAACCTATTGACTAAAGAATGTGGCATACATTCCGGGAAGCTTTCGACCCCGAGACTCATTCTTACAAAACATGTTTCTCCGTAAAAGGATGTCAATATTGTGTTTATAAAAAGGTGTTTTTCTCCCTCGCCCACGCGAAAGTGCGAATTCATAAAATTCCAATGATGCCGTCTGTATCTTGTAAACAACAACAATGAACACAGTTTTCGTTTCATTGAAGATGGCTTATTCAAGAC